GTTGATACACATCTGGTGAAAGGGGACCAGGTACCAGCACATAAAAACATTCAAAAAACATACTTTCAGATAGCTTAAACAATACAGTTTCAACCAGTTTGAAATCTTCAAAAAGCTTTAAAATCTTTATTATTAAAAGCTATTTCACACATCAAACCTTTTAGCAAAGCATTTAAAAATAAATTTCACCTTTTCCATCTTCTTGTTTTAAAAAAATAAAAATAGGCAATATTTAAAATATTTATAGACACACTAAAAGAAATAAAGTCTCTGTTGCCTTATTCATCCTTGAGTGCATACATGACGTCGTCCTGGCTGAGGTTCAGCCGCACGCGCATGTGGAGGTATTTGTCGTTGGCCTCCAGCAGCAGCAGCCTGCAGGCACCCAGCCTGGAGCAAACAGCCAGCACTTCTGACACCGTGGGGCTCTGGAGGCCTTCAATCCTGCACAGGGCCACGTGCTGGTGATAGACCTATGAGGAAAGAGAAAAGGACACGGGTCATGTTCACCTCCTGCTACAAGCGAGTACACAAAGGTGATAAAGAGGAGCTTCCTTCCCTCCACATCCATGGGACGGGAGGAAACACTAGCTCCAGCCTGTTCAGGTGAAACACACACGTACTGCTGTTCCAGCAAACTGACTTTGTCAAGGAAGTAACAATTCCAAGCTATGGTTTCCTTTTTTGAACAGCCAAGAAGCAGAACAATCAGCAAACTACCTTGTCTGCTAGTTTTTAAGTACTCTGTTCCTACCTCGTTAATCTGTTCCTACCTCTTCCCCCTGGACTATGCAGTTTGAAGCTTATTGAGCAGACTAAATGCTGACAGACAATGAATTGCACATCTATTCACTCAGAAGTGATATTCAGACCCAGTGAGTAATAAACACAAAACACTGCCTACAGACATGAAAGATCACAGCTTGGAAAGGCACGATACACCTTTAAACACCAGAGAATGCACTTGTCACCAATTATGCCGACTAGTTAATCTGCCAGAATAATCACTTGGGGTCTTCTGCTTCTCTGCTTAGAAAAAGCAGAAGAAAACCCTTTTGGTGTTAGAGGAAAACTAAGGGGAAATGTAACTAATCAGTCTAACAAAATATTCTTTGAAGTTCGAGAACTGATCACTCAATGTATCTATGCAGTCAACTAATGCAGAGGTTCAGGAGCCAGGAATGACAAATGGAGTTGAAATGCTTACCTACAAACCTGCAGAGCCAGATAAAACTAACAGGTGATTTTATATAAACATATAGTTCTAGACATTTTTGTGTAAGCATTAACATCTAGCTCCCATCCTGACCATGAAATAGATTCTGCAGTCTTCACAGCAATGCTAGCACCAGGTTTTTTATGGGTCTACTTAAAAACCAAAGCTACTAGTGATCTTTCTGCCTCTACTGAGAAAGACAGTGATACAGAACTTGGAATCACCTTTCAATTTTCCTCCTTAAACTCTGTTGCCTGATAGTTTCAGGGTCTCTGATTTTTCCTATTCTAAAGCATGGTAGGGTTGGAGGCATGAGATGTTTTCAGATGCACCCAAAAAAACCCAAACCACTTTATGATCCAGATCACTGGGAACATTAACATAACACCAGGTGTTGCCAAGTGTAAGTATTTAGTACCATCAAAACACAGCTGGTAGCATTCAATTAGGCTTTACACCTGTCCTGGGCAGCCATGCCCCAATTTACCTTGCCTTCATATTGTCTTCCATCAAATTTTAGGAATTAAACCCCCAAATATTTAAATATTTACCTGATAATTTTGACAGTGGCCCCTCTTTTGATGAGAAAAATAAGAGTACTCTCTAAAGCACCAACATACCTCTTGAACTGTTGCCTCCTCAACTCCTGCCCGGCGAAACTCTGCCAAAATTGCT